TTTCAAGACAGGGTTTCTCTGTGGCTTTGGAGGCTGACCTGGAACTAGCTCTTGTAGATCAGTCTGATCTCGAACTCACAGAGATCCACCTAATATATTTTTAAAAATCGGTAGCCAAAGACTAAATAACAGCAGAGAACCATGATCGTCTCATCCATTTCCAGATGCGCTGGGCTTTTTTTCTTCTGTTCATGTTGGTGTGAGGATGGGGCTCAGGGCCATGTGCATGCCAGGCAAGAGCTCTGCCCCGGCGCTGCATCCCCAGCCTTCTTGCTTTGTATTCTGAGACAGTTTTTATGTTTCCCTGGCTGGCTTTCCTCTCTCTGGAGCTAGCAGGTCCTGTACTTTTTTTTTTTTTAACCCTCCTTCCTGAGCAGCTGAGGTCATAGACTTGTACCATCAAGTCCAACTTCAGAATGGTTTTGAAATGTTAGCTTGGCTATTCTTGAACTTGAAATCAAAGTCTTATTCTATATTTTTAAAAAAGTTATATTAGTTCTTTGAGAATTCCATACAATGTGTTTTGATCATACTCACCTCCCTCCCCAACTCTCCCCAGATCTACCCTTGCCTTCCCCATCCATCCAACTTTGTGTCCTTTTCTTCTTTTTTACCCATCAAGACCAATTTGTAATGCTCAAATATTCTATAATGTGTGGACTTGGAGTAGAGCATGATCATCTGACCAGGGCCTATAATCTCATCAGAAAAGCTGACTCTTTGTCTCCCAGCAGCTAATAACTGCCAATCACTCCACAGCTGGAGGTAGGATTTTGTGCCTAACCCCACTTCCATGCTAGGATTTGGTCTGGTTTGGTTTGCACTGGTCTTGTGCCTGCATTCAGCTGCTCTGAGTTCATATCTGCATTTTTGGCATAAGCAGGGCCAAAGGCTCCTTCTTCCTGTTCTCCCACATGTAATGTCATCCAGGGAGCTACTTTTCTTCTCCATAGACACCAAATAGAGGGAGAAATGTATTACGGTCTCATCAATTCCTCATGGCATAAAAGGTGATGTGGGAGTATAGGAATGAAGGAATTATAAAATCCAAATAGGATTCTATAAAAGGGGGAAAATAATAAATAGGAAATCACTGACACACAGTCTTGGAATACTCCACAAATATGGCATCAGCTTTTCAAGCACAGAACTCTAAAGCCAGGGATTCTAAAAGCAGCAGATTGAATGGGCACTAGGTGATGCACTAGCTCAGGGTCTATAGACTGCACACGGAAAGTGTAGGTCTGTAGGGCCCAGAGAAGCACAAGATGTTCATAGATGGTGACCAATCTATCATTTTAGGGAAGCTCAGGAAACAAAAAAAATGCAAAACAGGTTTTTGAAGCTTCTCAACAATTTTCTCTCAACTTGCACTTGTTTCTGAAAAAACAAAACCCCTAAGTGTCTTAAGACACTAATGAGATTACAAAATAAAGTTAACAGCCTCAGGGTAACTTCTATTTTTATCTTGGCTCCTTGGAGATATTAATGGGACAGGCTTACATAGCCAGATGTAACAGAGTTATCTTAAATAGAAAAAAGACAGATTTATGTAATTGTCAGCCAATAGTTTTAATACACATTGGAAGTATGGCCAATTCCCTTTAGTATTAAATAAATAAGGATGGAATGCTAGTAAATGTATTTGAGCATCTTTCTTGAGAAACTTCTAAAAGAAAAAATAAAAAGACATAATTATACTCACACCACCAGCAAAACCTCTTGTCACCTGTTTTGTATTGTGGAATGCACCCAGCAGCCGAGAGACCTACATTAATACAACAGAGAAATGAAATGCACAGAATTAAAACATAAATGCTTGAGACAAAGTCATTTCTGATAGTTTCTCTCAGGAAAGTTGGAGGAATTTGATTCTTTTTTTTTTTTTTTTAACTTGAGGATTTTCCAGGAATATTTTTCTCAAATATTATTAGCTCAATGTAGCTGACTTGAAACCATAGAACTGTACCTTTTCTTTTTTGAGGGGTTCGTGTATGCATGTGTGGTATATCAGTGTGTATATGACCATGCGTGCATGCATGTGAAAGTCAGAGGCCCGCACCAAGTGTCCTCTCTTATCTTAGTTTCTGAGAAGAGTGAGGTCACTGAAGCCATAGCTCACAAATCCAGGAAGAACTGGACAGCAAGCCCCAGGGATCCTCCTGTCTCAGCCCCCTTAATGCTTGATTATAGTCATATAGCTTCTCTTTATTTTTTAAATAAATTTATTTTACATCCTGGCTGCAGTTTCCCCTCCCTCCTCTCCCCCAGTATGCCCCCCATGTCACCCCCTCCAATCCACTCCTCCGTTTCTGTTTAGGAAAGGGCAGCTCTTCCATGAGTATCAACAAAACATGGCATGTCACCGCCCAGCCTTTTTAAATGTAGGCGCAGGAAATCTGAACTCAGGTTCTCATGCTTGTAGGACAAGCACTTTAAAGACTGGGCCAACATTCACCCCCTCAAATCTCAGCATTGAACTTTTCTGAAGTCTGAGTATAAGTGTAAACTGTCCGAAGATTTTGAAGACACTATGGAACTATACTTTTTTTTTTTTTTTTTTTTTTTGCCTCAAACCTTAGTTTTTCTCTAATGTTCTTGTTTAGTTTTATTAATGCTCTTGACCACCATAGGATGCTATATGCTCTAAGAAAATTATCACGAGGCTGGAGAGATGGCTCAGAGGTTAAGAGCACTGGCTGCTCTTCTAGAGGTCCTGAGTTCAATTCCCAAGCAACCACATGATGGCTCACAACTATCGGTTATAAGATCTGGTGCCCTCTTCTGGTGTGCAGATATACATGGAAGCAGAATGTTGTATACCTAATAAATGAATAAAATCTTTAAAAAAAAAGAAAGAAAGAAAATTATCACCAGATTTAAAACCAACAGGATCCTTAAGAGACCCAGAGAAGGACTCTACAAACTTCTAGAGGGGCAAAGATCCAGAATTTGTTTAAGATTCAAGTGACCAATCAGCAAATTACTGAGTTCTTTTTAAAATTACTATTATGGAATTCTATGTATATGGGTGTTTTGCCTGCACATGTGTGCCTGGTGCCCAGGGAGTCCAGAGAGGGAGTTAGATCTTCTGGAGCTAGAGTTATACATGGCTGTGAGCCACCACACTAGAAATTCAACCCGGGTCCTCTGGAAGAACATCTAAGTCATCTCATGAACACCCAAACAGCAAATTAGGAACAATCTTGCCTGGCCTGTTAGAACAGACCTGTGATCCCAGCTACTCAGTAAACTGAAGCAGGAAGTTCCAATCTCAAAGCCTGTCTGGGCTACAAGTACTCCTCAAGACCAGCAAAGACAACTCAGTAAGACCCTATCTCAAAAAATAAGGAGAGCTGGGGACATAGTTCAGAGGCAGACCACCTACCTACCTATCATGTACCAGCCCCAGTTCTGCCAAAAGGAGGCAAAAAAAAAAAAAAGCAACAACCAAAAAACAAGTCTTCTGTGTCACTCACATACCAACTCTTTTGAGAATATTAACAGTTCACTTAGCACTACTTGATATCAACGCCACACAGAATATTTTAATTACTTAGTTCTTCTAGTAGTAAGGCAATAGTTACTGCTTTTACTTGTGATGTAATTTTTCTGAGACTATAGAAAGATATAAAAAAGGAAAGTAAAAGTCACTCAAAAATCCTACCACTCTAAGACATTACTATTACATTTTTTTTCTGACAAATAATAGCATATGTACACGTTTTAAAAGGTACTTCAAACCCTAGCCAAGTGACATGGTGTACACCTTTAATCCTAGCACTCGGGAAGCAGAGTTAGGTAGATTTCTTGAGTTTGGAGGTTAGCCTGGTCTATATAGTGTGTTCGAGGCTTCATAGTGAGACCCTGTCTCAAAGAAAAAGCTCTCAAATGTAATAGCTCCGTCTTCAGAAATGGTACAAAGTCTTATTACAATAAAATAAAAAAATAATTGAGTATACAGACCAAAGGCTCTTAAATCTACTAAAAAAAATAATATAACATTTTCATATTCAATACATGAGCAAAGAAACATTTGTTACACCTGGTCTTATTTTTCCTAGGCCTCATGGCTGGGGCTTGTAAGCCCAGGTACTCAGGAGGATTTAAAGTCCAAGAGAGTGAGTAATTTATTGAGACCTGACTTTAAAATTAAAAATGGAGGGAAAGTGAGGTGCTGAGGATGAAGCTCAGTGGTAGAGTGCTTCCCCAGCACCAGGCTCAACCCCCAACACCACAGCAACAAACAAACAATTATCCTAAGACATGCAAGCCATCTTTTGCTTTGTCTGCTACTGTATCTACAGTGCCTGGTACTCTTCCTGCCTCATAGTTGATACTCAATAAATCCCTTCTAAAACAACCCAGGCCACCCTCAATCCTACATGTAACTGAGGGTTCCCATCCCAGCTTCCATGCCTACAAGGACTTTCTTCTAACAACCCATATTTTCTGTGTTTCCATCTCTCTTCTATGATATTGGACAAAATAACACATTGACAAAGTTCATTCAAATAGCACTTTAAATTTTCAGCACACACAATGCCTTTTACTGTATAATATGCATGTATGTCATTTTCCTCTATAAAACCTAAGGAGATGAGTTCTCAAGGGAAAGAGCCTAGCCTTGACTTCATGAACTTGATTTCAGGCCCTGGATCATCTGAACCCCATGGCTTTTCTTTTCCTTTTTACCTTCATATTCCAACCTAAGAACAAGAGATACTATGTGGGAAATAGGGTGAGAAACTGCTCATCATAGTCTTTGGGGCCTGAAAAGTCTTTAAAACCCTCATTTTCTCTGTGTGTGGGGAAGGAAACCCAAAACTTTAAATGAAAACTGACCGTGGTGGCTCAGACCTATAATCTACTTGGAAGGTAGAAAGAGGATCAGGAGTTCAAGGTCAGCCTTAGCTACAGCCTCAGGTAGACTAGTTGAGACCAAAACAAAACCCTTAAATGGAAACCTAGTAAAGTAGCTGTCCTGATGGAAACCCCAAATGTCATCTAGCACTTCACCACGAGTTAACCTCAGGAGCCTCTTCTGAAGCCCTAATCCCCAGAGAGAGGCTGACCCAAAGGCTGGGCCACTCTGCCGAAGGTCACACAGGGAAGGAGTCATGTCCCAGGAGAACATCTTCTGACCCTACAGTCAATAATTTCTGAACTCTTAAGAGTTTTTCTTACAAGGAAAAAAGCAAAAACAATTTCCCAGCATACTCTTTACCAGTATAGCTTTATTTATCCTTCCCATAGAGAATGTAAGCCCAGACATTAAAGGACGGACTTGTTGCTACATTTTAAAAGTAAATGTGGGTCTGAAGAAAGTGGCAAAGTAGATGCTAGCTACTGAGCAAAATAGCCTAGTTACTTCTGTCCAAAAACCACTGTCTGCTTGGCAACTGACAAAATAGATATATTGATAGCTAAGAAAGCTTCAGGTTTTCATGTCCTGCATTGGCTAGGTGCTTTCATGCACATATTGATAGCTAAGAAAGCTTCAGGTTTTCATGTCCTGCATTGGCTAGGGGCTTTTCTTCATAAACAACTCTGACACAAGCAGACATCTTACAGGTGGGTTCACAGATATTAAGCAATTTGCTCAGGACACACAGCGGGTCAATGGCATTGTTGGAATTTAAAACTAAGACCCCTAAATTGAATTACCAGTAAATAACAGTGTATCTCTGAATCTATCTTTAAACTCAAGAAAGTGGGGAGGGTCAATACCAAATTTTATAAAAAATTTGTACTGCTTACAGCAGATTTCTAGGGAATCACTCACTATAGCATCAGATGACCTAAGGCCTGAGCAGTACTATATACACAATTAGCTAAGTGACCTTGGCTACTGGACAGGCAGAAGGGAACTGAAAAACCAAAATACTTGGGTTCCTCTCCCAGATGACAATGACAACCTCTATGACCTTGAGTAAGTTTGTCTTGGAGGCAGGTAAGCTGCCAAAAGATTGCACATGTAACCTAAGTGCCTTTCAGCTCTGGTACCTAGGCTATCAAAGAGAGCTGGAGCACCGGATCGCAGGGTTTCCAACAACGGAAGGCGAAAGGACGATGCTGTAGTCTCCCAGTCTTGAGTGTTGAGTGCAATCCCAAGGAGCATGATGCCCTGTGTCCTCTGAAGGGAAAATAGCTACCGGGGCATCAGGCATCAGTCTAGGAAGAGTTACAAGAGGGAGAAAAATCTGGCCGGCAGGGCCGCCCCGGGATTCCCTAACCTGAGAAAACCTCTGGCTCCCATAGTTTAGCCGGTCAAAGGCTAAGGGACCCGCGAGGCGCAAGCTGGGCCGTGCTTCAGGCTGCCCTGAGACAGGCAGGTAATAGGGCCGCGGGGCCTGGACCGCCACTCCATGACCTTCCGGGGCTCGTGCGAGGCCTGAGCTCCAGTCCCGGAGGAGGCTGGTAGGGACATTCGGAGCAGATCCGGCCGCCTTGACCTTGACGCCGTCCCTGCCGAGGGCGCGGCTGTCCGGGCTCAGGGCTCGCCAGACTCGGCGTGCTGGCCACACTCCCCGAAACTCTCCCCGCGGGCCGTGCGCCGCCTCCACCAGCCCCGCGCCTTCGCCTCCGCCAGGTATGACGAAGGATCACCGTCTGCCCTCCCGGCCCGCCGGTGAGCTTGCTACCCCGTGGCGCTCACCTTGGACACCCACGCGGACCCGGCCATCGCATCCACTTCCCTCACCTCGGCGACAGCCGCAACACCAGGACGCATGCGCGTAGCCGGCGCCCCCGAAGCCCGCCCCGCAGGCCCCGCCCCGAGGGCCCGCGCGGCCCCGCCCCTAGCTCGTATCTTCGTGGAGCTTCCCGACAACCCGACCCTTCTCTGCACAGCTGCCACTAACTGGCCAATCACTGCCTTAATCGTTCGATGACGCGCGGAGCGGGGCCCAGCTGCCATCCGGAAGCTCCCCACCCCCACCCCCTTGCTTCATTCATTGAGTAGCCTTGTGGATGATGATTTGTTTCCCACCTATTAGGCGCCAATGAGCCTTCTATATTTGCGGGATAATGGGCCCCTTAGGACTTTGCAATCCCACTGCGACAGATATTTTACTTACTCCCCAAATGTTGTTTCGTTTGGTTTCTTGAAGACAGTCTCATAGAGCCTCAAACTCACTATGTAACTGAGGATGGGTTTGAACTCCTGGTCCTCTTTTCTTGCCTCTATTTCCCAAGTGCAGGGACTATAGGCATGCACCACCAATGCTAACTTGGTTTTTATTTTTCTAAGAACTTTACTGAAATATAGTTTAAATATAAAAGGTACTCATTGTTGCTAAGAAGTTGAGAACATTTATTGCTCTTACAGAGGACCCAGGTTCGGTTCCCACCACCCACATGGATGGTTACCACCACCCACATGGGAACCTATAACTCCAGGGTTAGGGGATCCAGCACTCTCTTCTGGCCTCCCAGGGCACCAGGTACCAATGTGGTGAGCACACCTAAATGAAGTTAAAATGCTCATATACATAAAATAAATAAATCTTTTTTAAAGAACTTATTGTAAATGTACAGTTTGAAGTTTTTAGTAAATGAAACTTGGATAAAGTTAATTCAGAAAACACTTCTCTCTTGGGCTGGGGAGACAGCCCAGTGGATTAAGTGCTTGTTTCAAAAGCATGAAGACCTGAATTCAATCCCTGGCATCCCTGTAAAGAACCGGGTATGAGGATGAAAATCTATATAACCCAAGCAGTGGAAAACTAGAGCTAGGTAGATCCCTACTCTCACTTTGCCAGCCAGTCTAGCTGAAATGAGTTCCAGGTTCAGTGAGATACTCTGTCTCAAAAACTGAGGTAAGTATACCTGCGATGAAACACACACACAGACACACACACACACACACACACACACACACACACACACACACACTACAGTTATTACCTTAAAGAGAATAAGAGGGGCTGGAGAGATGGCTTAGAGGTTAAGAGCACCAACTACTCTTCCAGAGGTCCGAGTTCAATTCCCAGCAACCACATGGTGGCCCACAACCATCCGTTATGAGATCTGGTGCCCTCTTCTGGTGTGCAGATATACATGGAAGCAGAATGTTGTATACATAATAAATAAAATCTTCAAAAAAAAAAAAAAAAGAGAGAGAGAGAATAAGAGGGTTTGTTCAAGCCAACTAAGGCCAGGAAACATAGGTTTAGGTTACCCCAAGTACCTTGTTCCAACATGATAAAAATAGCATGTGAGTTAAATGAATGAGTTTTTAAAAGCAGAGAGTTAAAGTTAGAATGTTGGGGACAGAAACACTCTTGAAGGTAAATAAGAGCTTGCAAGTTGGGCATGGTGGTGCATGCCTTTAATCTCAGCACTCAGGAGGCAGAAGCAGTTGGATCTGAATTGCAGGCCAGCCTGGTCTACAGAATGAGTTTCAGGACAGGCAGGGCTATACAGAGAAACCCTGGCTGGAAAAACAAACAAACAAACAAACAAACAAAAAAAAAAACAAAAAACTGATGGGTATGACAGAGCCAAGCTAACCAGACAAGGGAATAGTTGGTCTTGATCTTAGCAGGGTCTGACTGGAACCCACAAAGCATTCCTGGAGGCAAAAGACCAAACTGAGTTTTAAGAACGGCTTCTACAGAGAGGAGAGCTGGCTCCACAGTGAAGAGCTTAAGAGCACTTTTTGCTCTTCCAGAAGACAGAAGTTCTGGTCTCAGCACCTAATCAAGAAGGCTTGTGGGGCTGGAGAGATGGCTCAGAGGTTAAGAGCACTGACTGCTCTTCCAGAGGTCCTGAGTTCAATTCCCAGCAACCACATGGTGGCTCACAACCATCCGTTATGAGATCTGGTGCCCTCTTCTGGTGTGCAGATATACATGGAAGCAGAATGTTGTATGCAAAATACATAAAAAAAATATTTTTTAAAAAATGTAAGAAGAAGAAGAAGAAGAAGAAGAAGAAGAAGAAGAAGAAGAAGAAGAAGAAGAAGAAGAAGAAGGCTTGTAATCCCCTGGAACTCCAGAAGGAGTTACATGCTCTGGCTTCCCTAGGCACCAACATACATACAGCCTATGCTCACAGAGACAAGGGCACATAAATGGAAATAAAACTTTTTTAAAGAAAAACTTGTAAGAAGCATCATCAACTCCAGCATCACCTATCCCCACCCACCCCCACAGGCATATCTAAATAGGAGGTGGTGAAGGAAAATTGCAGATACCTCTTGGTAGCATGCCTGCTGACAATCAGAAGGCTCTTCTGTGAGCAAACATCCTGGGATCAGCAGTTCAGTTGTTTCCACTATATCGGAAACTTGAGGCACGAGGACATTTTCCTACACATGTGCATGATCCAAGGGATTGCATCTTTAAGAAATGTGACATCATTAGAATATCATTTGCATCGTGGGATTGATACTCCTTCCCTTTTGTTGACATCACGGAAAGAAATATGCAAAAAGGAAGAAGATCCTGCTCATGATTTGAGATGGAAAAATTGTCATCTTCCCTCATGAATATGTTATTTGTCCATAAATATTCATAACTTCATTAAAATCCACAGTGCATAATACTTGGAAAAGGGAAGTGCATTGCAATCTCTCTTTGGAGTATTTGCTTTACCTACTGAGCTGCTGCCCCCAGTTTCCACTCTCTAGGAAATGCTCTGCTTTGATTTACTGACTAGCTGCTGCTTTGTAAACGTCTAGTCAAACTGTCTATATCTCTTGACTGAATTCATTACTTCAAGGAGACAAGAACTGAGAGACACCCACACACATACAACATCCACCACAGCAACAGTTTGTGAAATCTTCATAGTAGCAGAACAAGAAAAATCATCCCACACTTTTCAAATACATTGGGAACACCAGGCAGACAGGTTATAGCAAAGCCAAGAAATCCCAGCCTATAGATCTCAGATGTTATCTGATGACATTCTTAGCCTTTGGGTTAGGGAAAGTTAGGAGTAAGCGCTTTCTAAGAGGATTTACTTAATAGTCCCAAGGAGGTTGGCCCACACAGGGATGAACAACAAATGCCTATGAAGGAGATAAGATAACCATGATATCTGGACCTGCAACATTCCAGCTCTCTACACTCAGCCAGTTAGCCTTGTAGAATAGTTAACAACCATGTGACTTTTTTTCTAGGAACTTAAGTTCACAACAAACATCACTACAATCCAGTTTTTTTTTCTTTTTTGGTTTTTTGAGACAGGGTTTCTCTGTGTAGCTTTGGAGCTTATCCTGGCACTCGCTCTGGAGACCAGGCTGGCCCGAACTCACAGAGATCCTCCTGCCTCTGCCTCCCGAGTGCTGGGATTAAAGGCATGTGCCACCAACGCCCGGCTACAATCCAGTTTTTAACATACAGATTTGTTCCTCAGGTCCATTTACAGTCAGTTCCTGCTCCTGACCTCTGACCCTGGCAACTCTTGATCATCTTTTTTTTCTCCTCATTGATTGACTGATTTTGTGATAGGTGGTGGGTGGGGCAGAGCACATATGTACCACAGCCCACATGTGGCTATCAGAGGACATCTGGTTGGAGTCAGTTCTCTCTTCCCACTATGTGGGTTCTGGGGATCAAACACAGGTTATTTATGGTAGTGCCTTCACCTGCTGGGCCATCTACCCTGCCCTTGATCTATTTTTTTACCCTTACCCATCCACAAACTTTTGTTTTTTAGTACTGGGAAAACTGGGCCCTAGCACATGCTAGGCAAGAGTGCTACCAATGATGGGCAGTGTGGCACATGTCTTTAGTCCCAGCACTTAGGAGGCAGAGGCAGGCTGATCTCTGAGTCCGAGGCCAGCCTATTCTACAGAGCAAGTTCCAGGACAGCCACGACTACACAGAGAAACCCTATCTCTAAAAACAAAAGCAAAATAGAGTGCTGCCAATAAGCTACATCACCAGCCCTCTTCATTTTTTACTTTTTTTTTTTTAAACAAAATCTCCTAAGTTACCCATACTGCCCTAAACCTCACTCCAGTCCAAGCAGGCTTGAACTTTCTATCCTCCTGCCTCAACCTTCAGAAAAGCTAGGTTTATACGCCCAAACCACTAGACCTAGCTTCTACAAACACTGTTTAGTGTCACTTACATGTCAGGCCCCTACCTTCTAGGTGGGTACATCTTATAGGTACATTATGGTAACTGTGCCTATTGGCGGTCAGAGACATCTAGTATTGGAGCTTATATATCTAGTGGGAAAGGCAGGCATCAAATCAAGTCTGGAATAAATATGTAATTAAACTGTAAGTGACTAGAAGCCAAAATGTTGCAGGTGATAAAGGCTGGGGTGGTCTCAGTGGTGGATACAGAGAGATCTATCCAGAGTTTCCAGGACCTTGTTACCCTTGGAGTGAAAACTGAGAAGAGATAAAGTAAGGAATTAGGAGGAAATTTCATGACAGATCAAAAGTCCCCACTCAAGAGGGAGATCTGGTTTCTCAGAGTCACCTACATTTCCAGGATTTTTCTTGGTGGGCATAAAACCTATCCTAAATCCAGAGGACATACAACAAGCTTATATAGGTTGGGTTTTTTTTGTTTGTTTGTTTTACAAAGGTTACTGTATTGATTATGGCCTCTCTGCTATAATAAATACCCTGACAAATGCAAATGAAAGAAAACTGGTTTGTTTTGGTTCAGTGTTCAAGGGACAGAGAAGGCATGATGGAAGAAGCTTGAGGCAACTGGTCCCATGGTATCCACAGTCAGGGAGCAGGTGAAGCCTATGCTGGTGCTCAGCTCTCTTTCTCCTTTTTATTCAGTCCAGGAGTCAGGATGGGCCTTT